TCTGTTTGCGCTAGGAGCTTGGCTTCTGGGAGCCAGGAGGCAGGTTTGTCCACGCTGGCACTGTGGCACTGCAGTGGCAGGAGCAGCAGATGTCTGGGTCACTCTGTGTCCAGTGTCCATTCCCCAGGAGCGTGTCCGTGCCCCAGACACACACGGGGTGCTCAGCAAGGAGCAGCTGAGTGCACAGAGCCACGCTGGTTCCACCGTGTGGACAGCTCCAGCAGGCCAGGGTGTTTCAGAAACACCAGAAAAGCTGTTTGGGTTTAGTATTTCCCTGCATTTTTAATAAATGTGCTGTGAAAACCAAGTCCTGCAGGTGCTTATGCATAGGATTGACCTGTGCACCCACATGTAATCCTGGACTGGGACTCTCTGTGTCCTCCTTCCATGTCCTCTCCCCTCCCCAGCACATCCCATCTCCCCTCATCCCCAGTCATTTGGTGCTGACTGGCAAACCAGTGCTTTGAACCAAAGGTAGGAATACAGGAGTCCTTCAGCCAGACTTCTCTGAAATGTCTCCTAGTATTCCTCTGCCCAGTTTGGCAGCTTTATAGTCTGATTTTTAATGGCTCTGAAAATCTTTGGGTGAGTGCTGCTGGGCCCCTAAGTTGTGGTGCTGGTGTTCATTTTGGTGTCTCCAGCTGGCTCAGAGTGTTTTTGTTAGCGATTGGTCCTGGACTCTCATTTCCACTTCCAGGCCCAGCTGCATATGGATGTCCTGAGCACCAGGGTTGTGCAAGCTGGCTGGGGCAGGCAATTCCACTCCCTTGTTTGCAGTATCAGTTGAGATCAAATGGGAGAAATTAATGTGATAAAGCTAAACAGAAAAAGAGAAGGTGTAGATGTTCCAATATGGACTGTGGAGTTGGGCAGGGTTTGTAGCTATCCACATCAAGTGGGTGCTCTGGGCTTTTTTCATGCTCTTTGAATGAGACTTCCGAACTTCTATGTTTGGTTTTTTGGGTTTTCCCCACTCTTTCTTCACCATTTAGGTCAGTTGACATCCAGTCTTTCCAACATTGCTGGTAGGCAAAGCTGTGTTTGCAGGCATTGTTTTGCTCCTGCACCTCCTGTGTGGTGGGTGCCTGCCTTTGACTGATAGGCGGATCAGAGGAAGGCAGAAGAAGCTCCCTGTTGTCCTCAGTGAAAGGTGCACCCCAAGGGATGAGCAGGTTTCAGCAGCCTGAAGCAAAGGCCTGGGAGCCCCTGGTGCCATAGCCACTAACATGTTTTCAATGCACTTTTTGAGAAACAGATGTGTCAATTGCTGCAAAAGGAGTTCATTGTCAGAGATAATGAGAGTTGCATGTACGTGAGAGATCTTAGTTAGGAAGAAAATCAATGGTAAAACAATGTTTCAATCTATAGTCTCAGTAAGTCATTTACTTTCGAAATCTAGTTCTGCTCAGAGGTGAAATCATTTCCATTCAGGTTTTGTTGAATCACGGTATTAGAGTCGTAAGTCAGTGTTGGGAAGGTTTTCTTTTGTTTGTGCAAGAAGCCCTTCCAATAACTCCTCAAACTCCTCACAGCTGTTTTCTTTGTGTCTGATTTTAAAAAATGGAATTTTTTATAAGATACATTTGAATTTTATTTTGCAATTGGTAAAAGGCTCCTCTTTAGCATAGAATATACACATTGCGGACTATTTAGCTGGAAGCCAATTTTTCTTTTGAGCATATATTTTATGAATAACTTACTAGTATCACTTATTCTTATTGTAGATATACTGCTGTAAATAATGTGATGACTTGTATGACTTGTACCTCTGTAGGAGTTTTGCAAAGACTAACACCATGAGACATTAAACCTCTCCCTAAAATACATGAAAATAAAGAAATAGCATAAAAATTTTTCTTTGAGAAACAGAGACAGAGAAAAAAAAATAAAGACAGCTGGGTGAAACATGTTTCTGTTGATTTGAGAATTCATGTTTTATTTTGTCTAGCGATCAATATGCATTGTTTTATTTTTAGAAAATAAAAATACATCATCTGATTTCCAGTTTGAACAAACAGAAGACCTATGTTTCCATATTCCACACGGTTTCATTTTGCACTCTGATTTTAATTTTGCATTCATGTGTCCCGTTTTCGATACAAACTTCAGTGTTGAAATCCACTGCTTTTGTAAATTTTCTTTTAAAAAGAGAAAGATACTAATTTCAGTTCAGATGTGTAAAGCAACAGCCGTGCCTCCGTGGCTGCTCCTGGTGAAGGAAGAAGCATGGTACCTTCTGGAATGGCAGCATCAGACCCTGAGTAGTTGACTCTGCAGTGGCCCTGTGCTGGACTGCTGGGCAGGCTCATCTTCAACAGCACATGGTGCTCTCCCATTCACTGTACCTCTGTTTAATTTGTCTCATCTGTGGCACAGACTGCTCTGAAGAACTCGAGCTTCAGATGAAAATGTAGTTCCCAGGCAGAAAGGAACTGCAGTAAAAGTAGTTGTACTACTAGTTTGTCCTATGATTAATAGCAAGACTTGCTTAGAAGTTAGTCTTTGATTTCCTCTGTTTAATTGTAGCCCTAAGTGAAATGGGTTTTTGATTTATAGAAAATGCAAAATTAGGTACAGAAAGTTTTAAATTACAGTAACAGTAAAAAATTTCCCACAATAATCATCCCATATTGTTTCAATTCAAAAGAGCTAGGGCTTGATTTGTGTGGGAAAGAATCCATAGCAGTCAAGTTCCACATTTGAAACTGGGGAGAGGGGAGGATCAATTACCCTCTTTTGAGAGTATAAAAATATGCCTGAATTTCACTATGTAATGCTTTTATCATATATTCCTTCTTTGGAAGGGTGTGTGTTGATTAATTAATTTAGAATAGCTCTTTTCTTGCATGGATACCCTGTAAAAGCAAGTAGAAAAATTGTGTTCAAACATACAAGAACATCAGTTAAAAAAGCAAAAGCTTTAGGTACAGCAATGGCTTTGTAATCATGATGGAAAACTGATGTATTCTGTTTTATAATATTTGCATTATGCAGATTGGCTCAATAAACTGTGAAAGCTCTAACATAGTTCAATAACAATAGCTTTAATAATAGTAGTTTAATTCCTAAGCTACTTTTTGGAAGTTCTGCATGGCTGATCTCACTTTTGCTGCACCATATTTGTGTTGACTTTTTCTTTCATTAGACCGCAATGCCTATGTGTGTTTGCATCACTAATCCTAGATGTTGAGGTTCTGGATAGTTAAAATACATTCAGTAACATTGAAGCTATTCTGGAGTAAATGACGTTGCTTTAACGGATGAGACCAAATTCTGCTCAATTTACAGGGATGAATGCTGAAGAACACTGATCTGACCCATGCAAGTTTGCATGCGAGTTCCTGAGAATAGGAGTTTTGGCACTTTTTTTTTTTTTTTTTGTTTTTTTTTTTTTTTTTTTTTTTTTTTGTTTTGTTTTTTTTTTTTTGTTTTTTTTTTTTGTTTACACAACACAGTTTAAAATAATTCTGAAAATAATAATGCAGTTGTTATTCTGTTGGTCAGCTTGGTGGTTTTTAAAATCCTGCTTCACAGTCTCCCCTCACATATAGTTTTATTTGGAGCACACTGAGTTTACAGTTTGAATGTAAAGTGCTGCTTCTATTCCATTTGATTTGGCATGACTAAGATGTAAAATCTAAACATAAAGCATAGTATTGATCCATTTATAAGCATTTTCAAATTGTACTGCACTTCTTGGATAATTTATTGTTGTAGGATTTTAAAGTCAGGTGAGCTCTGCATTTGTGCTATAGCCTGACAGTTTAATCAAGATACAAATTTAGAAACAAATCAGCACTGTCTTTTATATAGTGCCTCTAAATCCACGGTAATTTGTACCAGACCTCAGTAACAGGAAAGGATCGCCGTTTCATGCTACCAATACCAGTGGGTGTTGCTCCCCAGCTGCATCTTATAAGGGAAGATGCAAGAGAAATTAAAGGATCCCCACATGCATTTTTCTGTAATGTACCTTTTGCAGAGTACGAGGCTGATGGAAAATTCCCTTGAATTCAGTCTGTGAGCCGGCTGTAAATAGTGCCATATGTTCTGCACGCTTTAACTCCTACCTTTTGAGAGCACTGGGCAGTTTTCAAGTCAGCTTTCTTTACTTTGTAGTTTTGGAACGTTTTAAAAAACGTAAGCGCTTGTACTCTGCAAACTCAGAGCAGGGAGGGGAGAGCTCAAGTGCTGCTGGTGCCTACCCTGGCTGCCTCGGGACTCGCCCAGAGGCCTGTTTCGGGGAGCTCTGCTATGCCAGGACGTCCCTTGCAGCATGAGCTCGTCCCTGCACGCTCAGCTCCAGTGTATCCGAGCTATAGGCTGAGGCTGTGTGCACTGGCAGCACAGATGGAGTGTGCTCTCATTAGGACTGTTTGTTGCCTGTTGGAACACACAGCATATTTCTGCCGTGGCATCAACAGTTTCTAAGAACTGAGGTCAAAATAAACAGGTTGCAGTTGGATTCAGGAACAGTCTGGGAAACAACTTAAAATTCCCTGCTTCGGCATAACCATATTCCTAGATAGGTGGGTAAAAAGGCGTTCTCAAAGCAAGGGCTCATCTGAATTGATGCTTAGTGTATGCAGACCAGTGTGGAGTTGCAGAGGCACAGCCAGTAAATTTTCTACAGATATTGGCACAGATATTGGCAAAATTTATCTTATTTTAAATAAATGAGCAAATTTAAGCCCAGCACTCCCACGCTGTTTCTCCTGGTCTTTGTAGTGCTTGAGCAAAGTGAAAGTGATGCCCCCCTGCCCGTTTGGAAGGTGCCTGTTCTCACCAGGCCTCAGCCTCCTGTGCAGGCGCGGATGTTGCCGAAGGCCCTGGCGTGTGCGGGCTCTGTGCGGGAGCAGGGCTGGGGCTCTGGCAAGCCTCCTGGAAGCTGCTTGGAGTTGCTACTGCCCCAAACTCCCCACTCCACCCCACCCTTTCCCTGGGGATTAGTGCTTCCTCAGCAGAACCCGCACCTGAGCTGCCTCGTTGCAAACCCGCAGGTCCTGCTCCGGCCCTTGGAGGGGCATTGCTCTCTGCGGAGCTGCTGCAGCACGCCCGAGGTCTGAGCCCGTGGATTCAGCGTGGATTCAGCAGCCAGGCGCAGCAGATCGCTGGGAAAAGGGAGTAGTGCGGTGTGTGATGGCAAGATTCACCAGTGCCTCTTCCACAGCTGGTAAGTATTCACAGGATCAGCCCATGCACACACTCACGGTCTGGGTGACAGCCTGGCCCCACAGGCATGAGTGAGTTTTAACCAGCGATATCAGTGAATGCAGGGTTTAATTTGTAGCCTGCAAAATTTTATGAAACAGGACAAATATTTGTGATGATTTTGGCTTGAGCAAAGATGTAAATAGATTTGCTTCCTGACAGAATCAGCAACAGTCACTTGTAAGGGTTTGCTCATATTAACCTGGTCACAGTTCATTGCAGCCAGAGGAACTATCCTGTTTGTTGAGCTGCAAACACACAAAGGTGCAGCAATCTGCTAGATTTTAGAAAATGTTCTCATGGGTTTAGTTAGAAAATGTTCTCATGGGATTTGGGGGTTTTTGGGCAGGGAGGGTTAAATCTAACTCTAGTTTTGGTGGTTAAAATGTAAAAAAATGTAATTTTTTTCATTTTCAGAAATGAAACATTATTGAGCTGTATGGTATGCATAACAGTAAATGGCTAATACAGATATGTGTAGTGGAGTAATGAAAAGATGTGTCATAATAATTACAAAAATTTTGAGGACTGATATGGAAAGATGTGTATAATTCTCTAAAAGAAAGGGTAAAAAAGAAAGCCTTCCCATATTCTTTCCTGCTACCAGTTTACTGCTGTTACCATTCTTACTTCCCATGGCACGAGGCATTCAGTGGTCTGTATTACAGCCACATAATAATATTATCATCCCTTACTTTCCTACAGTGACAGGGAAGCAGCACTCCTAGAATACCGTGTTTATAGGATGATCTTACTGTCTCCACGAGGTTTTCTTGGTTCTTGCTGCTGTTCTCCATATGCTTCTACACACAGTTTGTGTGTAACAATGTGCCTTTCCATCCTTGACCCTGGCAGGTCTTGTGCAGCCTCATTCATCCTGACCCACCACCTCTACCCTGCTCACAGACAGCTGCTGAGTCTCAAGCTCTTCACTGACTGTGAATGCAGTTGGGAACACTCTCCTCCCCCCCACTTTTAAGTTGGCTCTCAAAGCCCATCGCAGATGGTCTGTACCTCATACATAATAAAGATTTTTTTTTTCTTCTGAGGCGGGTTTGTGTGAATGTGAGAGGCAGACAGTCTGGCAAGCTTAGACCTGTGTTTTTATATTTTTTTTCTAAGTGAGCCTTGAGGGATTTGTTTGCCATAATTTGAAACCCCTTAATAGCTTATGGAGCTCAGTAATATCTTGGTTCCAGAGGCTGGAACCTGATTTGTCCATTTGATATTTTCTAAGGGGAAGTTATACACACTGGCAAAATGGAGTTAGGGCCCAGCTGGACAAGACAAAGAAATTAAGCAGAAGCATTCCAGGAACTAAAGCAGTTGCTTTAGGCAGGTGGTCTTCTAATAACAGTATGGTAGGTTTGTGCTAACTGTGTGTGTGAGTTGCTTTGGGGTTGCCTATAATAGCTGGGTATTTCAAACTACTTGTAATACTTGTTTGAGTGAGTTACCTCTGTCCTATTTTCAGACTCGAGCAGTAAAGTCTGTGTACCAAAATGTCCCCAGGACCTCATGTAAGAGCCTAAGGAGCATTTTCAAATGTCAGATAATTTGGGTTCTAGGTAGCTCAACACTGCTGCTTCTTAGTTCCCTAGTGTATGGTTGTATTGGTGGTGTTATGCTCAGCATTCCAGTAGCCATAAAAACAGGTCCATGTGTGGAAATCTTCTTCATGGGCCAGGCTGCCAGTTTGTTCTGGGTTTCTGTTCTGCATGGAAGCTGCCATAGGCTCTTCCTGATCTCTGCACTATGCTTTGGGAGCTGAAAATGTAGAACATATGCAGGAGGAAATTAATGGAAATACATTTATACCTGCAATTTCAGCAGTGGTTTTGACCTCAGTGAGAAAAGATATGTCAAGGTGAGATACGGAATTGTATGTTTTGAAAGATAAGGGAAAAATGTCCTAAACTAAATTGGATTTTGTTCATGATGAGGAAAAAATTAACAGGTATTTCACTCCTCTGTTGTGGATGTTAAATGCTCCGTGTGTGTGTGTGTTGTTACTCATTCTATAGAACAATAAGGCCCAAAACCAACCTGTGAGCTGTAGAATATTTGCTGAAATATTTTGGAGTTCAATTGTCTAAAGCTCTTGGCGGGAAAAAGTCCCACAAGTGTCAGATAAGACACTTTTCCAGGGCCTGAAGGGTGTCAAGAGTAAGGGTCTCTGAGAAGTGAACAGAGCAAATAAAATTTTTTGAGAAGAGATGAGATCCAGAGAACATTCCAGTTAGGCAGCAGGGGTCAGCAGCACAGGGCAGTCCTAGGCTCATCCTTCAGAGTGGAAGGACCTTGGGAGCCTCTAGTCCAGCCTCCTGCTCAAAGCTTGGCCAGCTGAGACCAGGTGGTTCAAGGTTTTGTTCAGTTAGGTAATGAAAGCCTCTGGGTATGGAGATTGCACACCCTCTCTGTGCAGCCCCTTCCACTGCTTGACTGACTTCATGGCTGAACGGTTTTCCATTGTTTCTAACCTGAACCTTTTGTATTTCAAATTCTGTCTGTTGTCCCTTTTCTCCCACCACACCCCACTGTGAATAACCTGGCTCTGGCTTCTCCTAGCCTCCTGTTGGGTGTGGAGGGACTGTCACCAAAGCCTGCTCAGGTCCCTTAGCCCCTTCTCACGGGGCTGATGGTCATCGTGGGGGTTCCTGTCACTCCGCCTACACTGCAGCATTGCAGGCTGAGGAGTGGCACAGGAGCCTCTCAGGACAGTGCTGGGGCTGACCCATGCTGTCCCATGGGATGCTGGCACCAGGACAGGCAGAGTGGCTCCCTGTGAGCCACATCACTCTTGTCCAGCCCCTTTAAGGGGTGTGGGTGTTTCTGCTGACCATCTGCTGGAGGCAGTGCCAGGAGCTGATGCTGTTGGCTGGCCTTGGCTTTCACAGCAGATTCCTGGGTTAATAGTGTGGCATTACTAATTTCAGGTATTAATATAGAAAAATATTAGCTTGGATTTGAAAATCATGCCATAGTTTAAATGCTAGAAAATGTTAGAGCACTGTAGAGTTTCTTTGCAGAGTGGTTTTTGAGCTGCTGAGATACAGGTTTTAAGCATAAAACACGACAGTTAGATATACTTAGTCTCAAAAATTGTTAGGTGTCATGTAATTGCATAACTGCAGAACCCAAGGCTTTAAGAACAATACTGAGTATCGTGAAATTGTGATTTGATTTTAAAATAAAGCAACATCTATAGGATCAAGAGTCTGCTGCTTTTGTAAAGCAAATGTTCATCTAAGAGGGGTTTTTTCAAATAGTGAACCACATCTGTAAAGTTCTGAAATGATAGCTGCTATTATGTGCTCATCTGCTTAGCACAGTAATTAAAGTATACATTAATGCTGTGAGACACGTGTTTAGAAGTATGGATTGAAATTAATCACCGTGCCCCTACAGAAATTGCTTGATGAGTCCAACAGCATATGTGTTGCTATAGAAAGCTGTGAGTTAGTGGATTGTACATGGGTACAGTTACATTTAGTATTTCATAAGTTTTATTAAATATAAATACAAAAATGCATTCAATTTTATTAAAGCTACTGAGTGGTGTTATTTACATATTTTTCCAGTGTCGGACAAGCATTTTTACAGGTAAAACTTGCACTGTAATAACCACTAAAGATGCAACTGTCAAACTGCTCAAATACTGCTCAAAGTGTCTTTGAGGTGTCTGCAAGTATTGTGTGAGCAGGGCAGGAGGAATTCCTGCCTCTGTGAGGTGTGGCTCACCCAGGGCCAGCCTGACGCATCCGCAGCGGGTCCCTCGTGGAGCACCAGGTGCAGGATGGGTTTGTGCCAAGCTGAGCTGTGTGGAGGAGGCCCTTGGCTGCTGAGAGAGAGTGAAAATTCTGCATCCACTGATGAGTTTTATCTTAGATTTAAGCTTGCAATGTTAATTCCACCTCCAGCTTCCTGGACATAGTTGTCCTGAGAAAGTCTCCAGTGAGTTTACAGCCTGTGCAATTAACAAGTGAAGTGTCACCTCAGCCTCTACCATGGTTACTGTGCCTGCCAGAAAAACTTGGTGATAAATATTCCACGAGAGGCTTGAGAGGCAGTGGTGTCAGCCCTACACTGGCCAATTCACCAGGTCAGGTTTGCCCTGTTACTTTACAGGCTACGTGAGGCAGAAGTGGAAGAGCAGGCGTGGGTCCTTCCCGCAGCGCTGAAATGCACGTGGTGTGCAGCTTAAAGCCCTGCTTCTGTCCTGCTGCCCAGTGCAGGGAACTGCTCTGCTTCCCCAGCCCGTGTAGGGAGCAGCTGGAGAGCTGCTGCTTTTCCCGGTGGCACAGGGCAGTGTCCCAGCAAAGAGCACCACTCCGTGCAGTGCCACTGTGAAGCCCATGGATTGAGAGAGAGAAGCAGCCAGCAGCGGGTTGAGGACACAAAAAGAACAGAATCCTCGTCTGGGGAATTGTTTGAGATCCACCGCCCTTGTGAACTTAAAATGTGTGCACAAAAAATGTCTTGTTCTTCCCTGCTTGCAACTCCAACATACAACCCAGTTTAAAAAATGGTTGTGTTTGCAAAACTCTGACTTCTGTACTCTCACTGGTCTACGTACCTCTTTGTGTGTTCAAGATCTAAATGCAGTGTGCAGGCAGCCTTTCTCTTGCAGCTAATATTGATATCCTGCCCCAGAGTTACAAAAGCAGAGAAAAGAAAACCCTTTCAGACATTTACTGCTTCAGTTGATACATATTTGCCTGGTTTTGGGTGGTGAAAGTTGTTATTTTTATTATTTTTGCAGCATATCAGCCTGGATGTAGTCACCCTGTCAGGAGTGTAAAATTTACAGCAGAAATTATTTTAATGCTGGAAAAGCTCTTACTCATCTGAACCGTCATTCAAAATGCACAGTGAAAGTCTCCAAGCAGAAGTTTTCCATCCCACTGTCTGCAGGACTCCTGCAGGTCTTCTGATGCTTAAGGTAAGATTAAAAATAAAAAGAACAAACAACTTAGTTGCAAAGTAGAAGCTGGTGCAAAGCATGAAGGTATAATTCTAGAGCATAGAGGATCCTCTTTGTGCAATGGAGCACATGGCATTGTTAGAAAATTTCAGTGCAATATTTGTTTAAATAATCAAAGCAAAAAGAACAATAAGCCCAAGTTTACTACCAGAATTAAATACATATAAATGTATATATGTATATATAGAGAAATTGCTTAGTATTAAAAATTAAAAGGAAGTATTACGTTTTCTTTATTATTTTGAAAATATGTGTCAAAATACAGAAGTGTTTAACTATGAAAATAAGTGGTAGTATAAGCAGGGAAAGTAGGAACCACTGAATAGGACAATGTATTTTGTTTTGCTTAGCTCCTGAGAAATATCTGCAATATAGAAATATCTGCAATATAGAAATAGCTGCATAACCTGTGTACAGGTTATGCCATTGTTTGTACTTAGAGATTTTGGTTTCTGTTTTGTAGTGGTGTCCATTACATTTAGTGAATTAAACTCTTCCAGTGTATTTCCTTATTTCTCTGTCAGTGTAGCACAGGCAGCTTGGGGTGTCATCAGGATCCCTTCTCCATGACTGTAGTCATAGGATTTTATATAAAGAGCATTTTCCAGAGGATATCAGTGTGTTCTCTTACACGACTTTTTTTTCTTTGGTTTGTTTTAGGTCATATATATAACTAAGATACATTCCAGAAACTTTGTTTTCTAAATGTGTGTTGGGCACAGTTGTTAATGTTGCATTAAGGTGTTCACATTCAGGGCAATATAAAATGCTGCTTATGATAAATGAAAAATAATGGAATGCTCACTTTATAGCCCTAGGAGTTTGGCCTGGGCCTACAAACAGACATTATTTTTCATTTGTTTATAGACAGACAAGTTTATAATTAGGACAGTAATGGGCATAAGCATTCTTGCAGCCTTTGTAGCTCATCTTTCTTGTAAGCATCAAAGAGAATATTTGTGGTAGAACGCACAGTAATAAGTGTGGGGGAATCAACAGCTTGCAGATTCATTTATTTATTTATTGGAGCTGGTTATCCCCTATCCTCCCATCATCTGTGCCTCTGCAATAAAGGCAAAGCATGCCTATTTTCTCTCATTGCTATCACTCCAAATGCTGTAGATAAGAACGATAGCTGGACACAAGTACCACACTGTGCATCCCAGAACACCAGAGGTATTAATGAACACAAGCAAAGACTTGTGTAACCATTACATCAGTGTCCTATTTCTGGAAATGACTACTGTAAATTACCATTTGGCTGAGGAATCCATCGTGCTGATCTGGAGCCTGCATGGCCCAACTGTGGATTACATCAAGCACATGAAAAAGCTGCCCAGGAATCCTGGCACAGAATGATGTTATTTCGTTTTGCATAGGAAACCTGTGCGTTCATGCATACATGTGTATAAATATGTAAAGTGGTTTGGATTGCCTGTGTCTGTGTCTGTGTCTGTGTCTGTGGCAGATCTTTTAACTTCAAGGGTTATACATCTTTTATGTCAGCTCTGAGGCAGCTGAGATGAGCTGAAATGTCAGTCTTGGGGGATCACTGGTGTGTGAGAGTTGCCACAACACAGTTTCTCTAAGAGCCCATAGAGAGGCTATGATTTGATTCCTCTCACAGCTTGGTCCAAACCAGCTTGTGTTTATTGGCTGTGAAGCCCATTTATGTCTGCATCACCTGGGGACAGCAGTTTGGGGCTGTGTATCTGATGAAAAGGTACTTGGGGGTCAGGAGTTTTGAGGCCTTTAATAATTATCTAGAGGGATGACTTCTATTGAGGAAATGTTACCAGTTTGATGATTTTTGTCATGGTTTATGTCTTTAGTTAGTGCCAGCAGTGTTAAAAAGCTGAGATATTTGTGTCCATATATTTTACGCTGAATTTAAAATACAAATATCTCATCATAAGAAACTTCTTTTTAAAAATGGAGAGAAAGAAAAAATACCAGTCTGGTTAAGAGGTGGTTGTTCTTGTTAAGAAAAGAGTGAGTTATTACTGCTACCTCTGACGTATCTAAGTCTAGTAATACACATATCTCTTTAGGACTAGACCTCAGAATAAATTGCAACATCAGAAACGAAATTAAAAGCTTCTAAAACTTGATCCTCATGTATTTTTAAGGAAGTGGTCTATTCCAAGAATTCTAGTGTATGAAGTCTTGTTAAGATTAAAGTCTCTGGAGGCTGAAGTTCATTTTTTGAGGAAGAAACCCATTTAACAATAAAATCAGGTAATGCCAAATGATATTGTCACAAATAATTAAAATAAATTTGTATTCAGAACATCATCAGTGTATACAATAAATAATAGCTGAGAGGAAAGGCTGACCCCACACTTGTTAAATTGCTTGAAAGTTAATTTCGATGTGTTCAGGTGAAGGAAGGTTTGGTTGTGTGGGATTTTTTTTCCCCTCAGCTGCAGTTTTCTTTGTAATTCCACAAGAAATGGAATAATTTGGGCTTGTCAGACCCACCTGAGAAAAGCAGATGCCCTTGTACACAAGTGATCTTCACTTAGCTGGTGAGCAATGAATACAGAGAATGGACAGTGCAGTTGCTCCAATATTAAATTGCTCTTGTGAGCCTTTCAAGCTGGATTTCTTTCCAGCCCACAGGAAATGACTGATAATCCTTTTTTCTTTTTTTTTTTCCCCAGAGAAGGAATGTGCTGCAGTAGAAATACAGTATGTAACATAAAGATTAATATATATCCTTAAGTTAGATAATTGCAAATGTGTTGACTTTCTCCAACTGAAATGAGAGTAGTGAAACAAGGGAAGTTAATTGTGGGAGAGCCTCGTTGCCTCTTGTCATTGTTTTCTCTTCCTTAGAATATTGCCAAACTTAAAATATTTGAAGTGAACTTTCAGTGCTGAGTATGTTACTCAGATTTGCTGCCATAGGCAAGTTCAGTCATAACAGTTCACTTTTTCTTTGGCATCTTTTAATATTTGAGAACTTTGTGCTTTAACTATAACCTTTTTCTTCTCTAAAGAAAATCTTCATTTGTGCAGTCAGCTGGCTGATTCAATCTCCAGCTGAAGAATGATCACGAGATGAGTGTATGTTCAGTCCTGTTTCTGATGGGTTTTAAAAAGCGCCGACAGCTTTAGTTAAACACAGCAGTGGTTTTCAGTATGTGGCTCTTTGTACAGGATTCCTGTGCAGGAGGTCCTGTGAGAAAAAAGCTCTATCAGACATTGCAAAGAAAAGAAATTTTATTTTAAGATTTTAAGGAACAAAAAGATCTCGCAAGAAATAGCATAAGGGGATGCTTAAATTCGCTGGGTAACCAGGAGAAAGGTAGAACAGGAGTAATATTAATTTAGAGTATTTTGGGCAAGTCATGATCTTTCTCGAAGATTTTGGTATAAGTGATGTTCCTAATTTTTCTTAAATATAATATTTTTTTAAATTACCAAACAGGTTACCAAGTACTTTCATAGTCTTATAATATTATTTTTCAATTATTTTCCAATTTCAACTATTTCCAATAACTTGCTTGTATTAGTAATCAGTTAAAGCAAATTTGTAAATAAACAATGAGTAGCATATGTGAATTCTTATCCCTGGAAGCTCCATATGCAACGAAAGCAAAATGTAAGATAGGTATACATCAAATAAGTTGATATTCCTGTATTTAAAGCACCCAGAAGCATCATTTCTCTGTAGGTGATGAAATAAGATGGGTGGGTTTCCCCACCTGCTTTACAAACCCGCTCTGGATAGAAGGGGGGTTTCTGGAAATGCCTCTATCCTCATCAGGTATGGTGAGTGCCCACTCCTGGGCATCCCATGGCCAGCAGGTTGAAGTCCCAGGAGACATCCCACACACCCACATTGCTTGGAACTGGAACCAGTGCCTGTTAAACTGGCTGGGAAAAGGTGCTGCTTTTAACAGGAAAGTTTCAAGACGCCTCTGGTCTTTAATTTTTCCTTTACATTGAACCACAGGATCACAGGACCATGAAATGGGTTGGGTTGGAAGGGATCCTAAAGCCCATCCAGTTCCACTCCTTGCCTTGGGCAGGGACACCTTCCACTATCCCAGGTTGCTCCAAGCCCTGTCCAACCTGGCCTTGGACACTTCCAGGGATGGGGCAGCCACAGCTTCTCTGGGTAACCTGTGCCAGGGCCTCACCATCCTCACAGGGAAGAATTTCTTCCAAATATCCCATCTAACCCTGCTCTCTGTCAGTGTAAGCCATTCCCCCTTTTCCTGTCACTTCTCTCTTCACGTGGCCTGAGGTGGGGCTCAGTGGCTTTTAAGAAACCCAGTTCAGATGCTGAGTAAAACCTCACCTGTTCTGAGGTCATTGTCTCCCTTGTCTCACGGTTTCAAAGACTTCAGGCACTTCAGCCCAATGTGTCTCTCAGGGGATTGTAGCAATTCTTGAGACACATAGCAGGCTAGGAAAAGGTGGAATGCTAAAGGAAGGTATTGGAGCCCTTTTGCAGGAGTATCTGGTATTCTTTGATTAAACCTAGGCATGCGATACACTGGATATAATTCTTATATTTTATTGAAGGTTTTAATTTTTTTTTTTTATGGGAAGGAACTGCTTCTGCTCTGTGAAAACTCCAGAGTGCACACTGTTGTTGAAAAGTAAGTTTTTAAGGACATGTTGTTTTCAGTGTAAATGTGGAGCTGCTGGTCGCAGGCTCATAGACTACCTGAAATTCATAAGTTCATGCAGCACTACTACAAATACAGCTTATAGGATAGTAGTTTAAAGAAAGTGCAGTGTATCTTTCTCCCACTTCCAGATATGGTTTATCACCCTGACATGATCAATCAATACCATGTGACCACTCAGCTGTGTTTGGAAGAGCTTCCCAAATCACAGGCAAGTTTAGGGCTCCTGAGCTGGTTGATGTAATCAGGACTTGCATCTATAAAACTGGTTTCGTACAGCCTGGATTCAAGAAATTACCTGGCCTCTCTGCTCTT